TTTGTTAGAATAAGCACACTGGGTGGGAATGTACACAACATCTTGCATTAGTAGTGACATTTTTTAAAAAATTCAAGTGAAGTTGAACACAATGAAGTGGAGGTTTAAAATTACTAAGAACAACAAAGGATAGGAAATTGAGGAGAGCCATGATCGCCATTGTCCTGAAGGGACACAGCACATAGAAGAAGACAACTTGTAATGTTTCTAGGAAGACTAAAGCCAGCCTATTTGATATCATTTATATTCCTTATTTAGGAAACATGGCTTTTGTTTATTGTCTTACCTACTATTGACTACCACATCAGTCTGTTTCATCATCTAAACAGTCACTGATTATCATTACACATTATGCATGGGTTGTCATGTGACCTTCAGGGCCCTTAAGGACATTAGTAAATTCGTGCTGCAACTCTAATGCAAGATTCACGAGCCACTCAAAGTAGAGTGTTACTAAGTGAGATTGTTGTAAGAATATGCAAGCAGGAGAAAGAAATGCATATTATGAGGATATGTGGAATAGATAACCATTGATGCTAGATTGAAGAGGTTAAAATTGTAATGATTGGGAAAACATCCTCTTGGGAGTTGTTTTAGCAATACAAAAGTTCTGGGGAAGAATCCGTCTGAGTGAAAGTTTCTGCTAACCAGTGAAGTATAAATTAGTTATTAAATCTCTTGAATGGAAGACAATTCACCCTGTTTTAAAAAAAAAAAAAAAAAGTTACCTACTACATATCTTATTTACAACTATCAATCAATATTACGACACTATCTCTCCCACAAACTATGTCTCGGCACACATGCACATCCGAAAAAAAGGAACTCTCTATAAACACAACTTCATTCGCCACTTTTTTTGTCTTCTTTCTATACGGTTTCCCTAGGCAATAAAAATAATATTCATAATATTCATTCTTATTTTTTACCAAGGTTCACCCAATACAAGGCCCAAGAGCCACTCAAGATAGAGGATTACTGTGTGGAGTTATATTAACATAAGAAAGGAGAAGTGTTAGTAGTATAGAGCTGAGGTAGACTGGAAACTGTGATATAGGAATAAAGTGTCACTGCCGACACTTGTGTTTGAACATAGATCGCCACTGAGCAAACACAGGCGATCCCATTATTGAATTAAGTAGACCATGTGACCATAGAGGAAATCCATACATGGAAGGTAGCGTGACGTCTAAATGATCACTATTTCTAGCCTGTCCTCTATTACTATTCAGATCAACATTTCTAGTCTATCCTCTATTACTATACAAACCACTATTCTCTACTCTATTCACTATACTATTCCTATATTCAGACCACTATACGGATTGCTGTTTGAGCAAGTATTATTGAGCAAGTACTATTAGTGTGAGTATTACTCAAAGGCATCTGACAATAATATCGTTCAACAGTGTACTATAGTTGTATCAGTGATTACAAAGTCTCTACTACAATGAGCATTACGAAAGTGACAACGTGTATTTGTTGACATGACAAAAGTGTCAAAAGAGTATTTGTTGACATCACAAAAGAAACCCAATCCTAAACAGGAAACAAGGGATAAACCTCTACTCCTGTTCAAAAGTCCAGGGAGGAGTGTGAACCGGGTGATAGGTGAATCTGTCTACTCCTATTATATATTATATCTTACCTATTTTTCTTTGAAGAAATTTCTATGCATCCAATATCGGCTAATATTACTACACTATCGCTATCATTCAATGTCTCTCTTCAACAATTGATATAATCGTAACACATTCAATAGTCTTTCAGTCCATGTAATCAATCTTGGTTCAGTCACTTTCTCACCAGTGCAGCATGGCTTCTCTCTTTTCTACAAATATTTTCATGGTAACTGCTCTGATAAGTTCTTTTTCCTGGTGCCCTGACTACACGAATTTAAGTGTGCTACTAGATTGGCATTTGGGTCCCACCCTATTACTGTTGAAATACCTAAATGCAACTGGCACCTATACTCCAACAGTTTCTTTTTTCACACTTCCCATCTGTAGAACTCCCTTCCATTTACTTTCTACCCTGATAACTATAATCTTAAAAAAATTAAATGCAACGTCAATCGCCATTTTCTATCTTCTTGAATCCCATTTATCTTTTGTACATTCCTCAATCCCCACTATACTCAGTCTTTTCTCTCACTTTCACTCTCTTTAACTCCTTACATCTTAGTGGCATTCTCTCCTTCGTGGGGGTGAAATGATTAAAAAAAGAAAAGTAAAAGAATTTGTCATTGTTGATTATTTTTGTCCCTATTTCTTTTCCTTCTAACTTTTAATCTTTCTTTCTTTCTTTGCATCTTCTTTTTTTTTCCTTATAAACTTCTTTCTTTCTTTCTTATTCTCTTTTTTCTTTTTGTTCTTTATTTTAGCCAACCTCCCACCATCACCACTCCTAGATATTACCAGTAGGGGTTTTCCATCCCTCTTTTAGTCATATCCATATTCATTTCCTGTCAAGCCAAGTAGACATTTTTTTTATTTAGGCCATAAATACAAAGTTTTGATTAGTCACATAAAAAGATCGCACTCTCAAACCCTGGCCCAGTTCATGAAACAGGATGTAGTGGAAAATAAAACTAGGGATTATTTTAGAAACAAACAATCCTGTTAGTTGCACATCCCTTTAAAAGAGCCCCATATTTGCATACGACATTCTTGAGTTATTCATAAATCAACGATGATGCACTGACCAGAAATTGAACTGGTCGGCCTTTGGTGGACATTAAGGATTTAGGACCCACATTTAAACAAGCAATCTCTCGTAACATAATTAGTTTAGCGACGCCCATTCCTGATTTATGGAAGTTGAGCTCTGGGGATCCTTTATTGACCTTAGAAAATATGTTTAAAAAAAGATGGATATTTCTTGAAAAAGATTTTACTTCTTTTGATATTTCTTTCTTTCTGAACATCTGAGTGGAATTTCTTTCTTTCTTTCCAGCTTTCTTTCTTTTTTCTTTATTTCCAGCTTTCTTTCTTTCTTTCTTTTTTGCATTCTTTTCAGCTTTCTTTCTTTTTTCTTTCTTTCCAGCTTTCTTTTTTTCATTCTTTTCAGCTTTCTTTCTTTCTTTTTTCATTCTTTTCAGCTTTCTTTCTTTCTTTCTTTCTTTTTATCTTTCTTTCTTTCATTCTTTCTTTCTTTCTCCTTAGCTTTTTTATTTTTCTTTCTCATTGTACAATGTAACCTTATCTGATATTATATCACAAATTTAAATAATTTCAATATTTTTTTTTTATAGTTCTTTGTTTTTCTCTTTCTTTCTTTATTTCTTATTTTATACTTTAATTTGGTAATATTTTATAAAAAATTCATTATCATTCTAATACAATCCAATATCTGAAACTATATGACAAAATTTAAAAATTCTAATTATATTTAAATTTTTGTTTGTTTACAATTAAATAATCAAATACTTTTTTATATCACAATTTATGCTATTTTTTTTTTTATTGAATTAACATAGAATGAAGTTAACATTTGATTCTTGATCTGAGCAAAAATTCTCAGAACTCATTTTTTTTAAAAAAACGAGTGACTCGAAATACAGCTAAAAACTGTTTTTTCATTAGAAATTTTTGCACACTGCTAATATTTGGGGTGTGCTTGTAGTACAATGATTAAATTCATAAAAATGAAATTGAGAAAATAAGCTCAAGCCCTAGATGGGGCAGTTAATGTTTGCCTGTTACTAACTGATATGTCCCGGAAAGGGATATATTTGTTCAAAGTAGCAAAGTGGTTGTTGACTACTGTAACCGAGTAGGACAATCTAGCAGGTAACCATAATGGACTGGTCCTCGTCGTAGTGGTAGGCAATAGGCGTAGCCAATAGGCATCATCCTTGTGTCTCCACATCAGTCTGTATTTATGGCTGACACCAGCCAATCATATTACTGTGAGGGGGAACCCAGGTGTATGCATATTCATTACATCACTAATGCCCTTGGAAAATTCATAAATCCACTTTTTGCTCCAGCTACAGGTTAAAAAGTTGGGCTCTAGTTGTGTAATGCAGTTCATCTTGGGCACTGGGTGAGCAAACCGGTCCCTCAAAAATACCCTTGCTAAAGCAGCATCAATTGTTGTGAATGTGGTCATATATTTTATAAGGTGTCTATAGAAATTAAAAGAAAAAATCTATTTCCGCTACTACTACTACTACTACTAATAATAATAATAATGTTTGTTTGGGAATACCAGTTACTGTAAGCTTGAATGTACAGGAAGCATTATGGATAATTTCTTGAAATTTTTAATCAGAGAGCCTAATCCTAATTACCATTGAGTTTGCTATATCCACTGACACACCTTGGGAAAGACATGAGTCAACCTCTTCTTCCCCAGCTATGGGTTAATTAGCAAAACTTGTATCACTAAATCATTATTATCTCGCCCCCCCCCACAAAAATTTCTTACAATCTAAAATATTTTCTGGCTTTAAGTAACCTAAAAAGGATTGATAAGACATAAAAAAAATGAATGAATCAATCTAAATAATAATGTTAATAATAATTGTAATAATCTTCACCATTCCTGAAAACTACAGAACAACTCTCCAAAAATAAAGTCCTAGAGATAGAAATTGAGACAATGTGGAGTAGCGGCTTGGATTGAGGAAATGGAGAGCCTAGTTCGAATACCAGTTGAATCCCATTACATTCACTTATGTACTAATAGCTTTGGAAAAGGTATGAATCCTCTTCTTCTCCCCTCACCAGCTATGTGTAAATAGCAGGACAGGCCAGGTTCTATAGCCTTGGATGACAACTAGTCTACTACAGAAAGAAATGGCAACCTACTGCTGCCTCATCAGTCATGTATCAAAAGATACATGATCACCTAAGTGCGTATCATGCATGGCACATAACTGACTGTGGAGCATGAAGACCAAAACAATGCTAGTGCTATCAGTCTGGTTAACGAAGTGGGTAGGGACAGACAGGGGACATATTACTTTGGTAATATCAGGGGCTTACGGCTGCATCATGTTGAAATATTGGCTCCCATTTGATCACTGAAGTTAAGCAACATCAAGCCTGGCCAGTACCTAGATGGGTGACTGCTTGGGAAAACCAGATGCTGTAAG